AGTCTCAATCTGTTGCAGGGTGAAGTACAGTGGCACGATCAGGGCTCACTGCAGCCTTGACTTTCTGGACTTAAGTGATCCCTCCATCTCAACCTCCGTAGAGTAGCTGGGACTACAGGCACATGTCACTATGCCCGGTTAATTTTTAAATTTTTTTTTGTAGAAACAAGGGTCTCACTATGTTGCCCAGACTGGTCTCCAACTCTTGGGCTTAAACAATCCACCCGCCTCAGCTTCCCAAAGTGCTGGAATTACCGGCATGAGCCACAGTGCCCAGCTTCAGAGTTTCTTGTTCAGGTGGCTTACAGAGGGAAAAATCTCAAGAAATACTGGTTAGGTGAGCGGAAGAGGGAAAGTACTACAGGAAGAAGAGGGCTCAGGCACATCTAGCCTCAGCCGACTGATGGTGAGCTCTGGAGCATGAACAGCACTGCAGGGTTGCCTTCCCCTTCCCTGTCCTGCTGACCTTACCTGGAGGCAAGGGGTAGGCCTGCCATCCATGGGGCTGAGGGTTGCCAGCCAGCCAGCTCTCCTCTGCTGAGGGCAGCTCCCCAAAGAAGCAGGGCAGCTATGAGACATTTGCAGCCAATTCACACAGCAGCTGGGAGGATTGGGACTCCAGAACAGTGAAAGAGATTAGGTGGGACACCAACCGCTACAACAGGGAATCACATTCATGTTTAATAAGCATCTGTATGTCTGTGTGTTTATCTGTTACAGCAGAATGTTTAGTGCTCATTCAAAAAAATGTATTGAATCCCTACTCTGTGCCTATTTCTATTCTAAAAGCTGGGAGGTTGTAGTCATGATGAAAACAGATAGGATCATCCCTGCCCTTTGGTTGTTATTAAGCGGAAGAAATAGATAGTAGACAACAATTCACACAAATGAACATTCCAGAATGCAAAATGTAATACATGCTGAGAAGGAGAAGCTGAGGTGTGACAAGAGATCACAGTGGAAGGCGAGATGCATGCTGGGTGGAGGGAAGGCCTCCCTGGGGATGGGTGTTTATGGCAGTGACCTAGAAAGGAGTCGGTGTGAGCTGGAAAGAGAATGGGAGGGAGGCTGCTCCAAGCAGAGGGAACAGAGAGAGCACTGTCCTGACCTGGAGAAAGACCTCCATGGTTTCAGGGAATTGAAAGGAGGTCTGTGTGGCTGGACACAGTGACCAAGGGGTGAAGGACATGAGAACAACAAGAAAGGGGGCCCATGGCAGCAGATGCCAGGCCTCGGAGGTCATGTTTGGGACGGAGCTCTCAATGAAAGCCAATGGAAATACACTGACGCCTTTGTCAAGAAAGAGACATGATGACCATGGTGGCTCAAGGGCTGTGCGAGGTTTGGAGAAGGCAGGAATGGAAGCTGGGAGGCTGGTGGAGGTCGAGGGAGAGATGCCAGCACTCTGGACTTGAGTAGTGGCAGTGGACATGAGGAGAAGCAGTTGGGAGAGGAGATTTCAGAGGGAGAAGGCGCAGGGATTGCTGAGGGTTTGGGTGCAGGAGTGAGGGAAGGCAGGTGTGCAGGTTCACACTCATGTGGACAGAAGTGCCATTTTCCAGCAGGAGATGCAGGGCAGGAAGTTGGGAGGATGTGTTCACAGCTCAGGACTGGAAATTTAAGCCCAGTAGTTGTCAGCACATAGGTAACACTTGGAACCCAGAGAGAAAGTATTGCTAAGAAGCAAAAGGAAAGAGAGCAGGACTGAAGTCCATGCGAAGAGGGGGAAACCACCCAAGTGTCCGAAGCAGAAACCAGAGAGGCAAGAGGAACACAAAACATGGCAGCAGTGAACCCAGCAGAGGAAGTTTCAGGAAGGAGGGTGATCAGTCCTGGGGTATGCCCACTGTGGGGTTCCAATCAGATGGTCTTTGGACAGGGCCGCAGAAGGGTGCGGTGGAACATGAAGGCTGCAGGTGGCTTTCCACAGGTGCAGCTGTGCTGGGAGATGAGGGAAGGCAGGCCGGATGCAGGACACTCTTAAATAAGTTTAGTTATTTGTGGAGGAGAAGGGGCTGCCTCTGGACTGGGAATCAAGAACACATTTGTTTTTTTTTTGTTTGTTTGTTTGTTTGAGACAGAGTTTCGCTCTTGTTGCCCAGACTGGAATGCAATGGTGCGATCTTGGCTCACTAAACCTCTGCCTCCCAGGTTCAAATGATTCTCCTACCTCAGCCTCCCAAGTAGCTGGGATTACAGGCATGCGCCACCACACTCAGCTAATTTTTGTATTTTTAGTAGAGACGGGATTTCTCCATGTTGGTCAGGCCTGTCTTGAACCCCTGACCTCAGGTGATCCTCCCACCTTAGCCTCTCAAAGTGCTGGGATTACAGGTGTGAGCCATTGCGCCAGGCCAAACATTTGTTTTTTTAAGATGGGGGAGATGGTTGAATGCTGGGTAAGAGTTGGATTATGGGGAGAGTCAAGGGTACAGGAGAGAGAGGGGTTAATTGCTATGGAGAAGTCTCTACAGAGGTGGGAGCAGGTGGAAGCAGACCACTATTCCCATTATCTGGCCAATGCTGAGCCCATGCACACTGGGGTCCCAGCCTAGAGAGATGACAGCAGAGGAGGGATGGGAACATCTGTGTGGTGAAACCATCCCTATAGACTTTATACAATTAATCAGGGAAGAAGGAAGGGGGAGAAACGAAGATGAACCAAGCTTGCAGCACACTCAACAGTAACCACGAGGTCTCCTTGCTCTCTGCTCTGCTTCCTCAGAGCTGTTTGGGGCCTATTGACTCAGAATTATATAGACCCTGTTATGAGGTGATCCTTCCCCTTAGCTGTTCTGTAGATAACAACCTGAACATTATAAAACATTAAGTTTTCCATTTGAGATACTCTTTCAGGTTCTACATACCAATGAAACTACTGATGCCAGCTGGTCTTAAGGACCCCACAGGAGCTGACTCACCAAAGAATGCAGTTTTCACATCCTGACGATTTCCTCCCCCTTACCACAACTAATCAAACAAATTCCTTGATACTGACTGGCACTGGCCGAGGCTTCCACATGTGGCTCAGTGGATATGTAACAGGATCGTTTGCCCAATGCCTGGCAAGTCAATATACCAAGGCAACGGGGATTGCTGCAGAGAAAATATCTAATAATCACAGGACAGCTAAATGAGGAGGTGGGAGGAAACCTCCAATCCACTAACTTAAGGAATTTGGGACTAGGGATTTTAAGGGCTTTGGAATGGGCTGATGTATGGGGATTGTAGGTTGGTGGAAGAGTGCAGGGGGAAGTCATTGGACAGAGAGATGGATAAACTGCATTCTCATGCTGATTTGGTTTCTCATGGGGTCTTTAAACTGGTTGGCATCAGCCTTTCCTGATGGAATTCAGGATATGAAGAATATCTTGAGCAATTCTTAAACAAAAGTTATGATTCTAACATCAGAAGTCCTATCTATGGGAAAATGGGGATTTAAACAGTCAGTATCTAGTGTTGCATGACTCAGTTATAAGGAAGTGGGCCAGAGTACAGCCTAATTAATGCTTAATTATAACTATATTTCTGCCCCAAACATGGCATATAAATTCTTGTTAACCCTATGAGGATGGTTTTAGACCCTCTCTTGGGGGATCCGTCTTCCTTCAGGTCTAACCCTGAACCACGCTTCTGCAGGTATCTGGTTCCTGGCTCAGTCAGCAATGCCAGAGCTAGTTCAGCCCATCAGGGCAACCCTCCCCTCAGGCCCCAGACTCCCCCCTACTCCTGGCCACTGAATAATGAAGCCCACCAAATCCTGAGATGGCACTGTCAACCCTACTTTCCCACTGGTCCCTAATTCCACATCTCCCATAGTCTTCGATTATTTCCAGGGCTGCCTTGAAACATAAAAGATATTCAAAGCAAATCTGTTGGCAGTCAACTTAATTCATACAAGCATTCCTTTAAGGCATTTATAGGGATGGCAGAGAATCAAACAATGGGTTGGATACCCTGCCCTGGAAAATGGGTTTCTTTGCTGATGCTGCTATTGGAAATAGTGCCATTAATTTTGTAAAAGAGGTATCATATTCAGAAAGACTCTGTCAATCACTGTAAATGCTTTGGTGCCTTAAACAGTTATGAAATATGGAAGCTGAGGATGTAGGAGCCTGTTGGAGTGCGCCCATTCCTGGATCTGGCATGCAGTTGCCTTTGAAGCTGTACCTCTCAGATGGCTTTGATCCTTCCAGGCCCAGAGATAAAGACAAGATGAGAGAGGTGTTATTAGTGTTATTATTTACACTTAGTGGAGCTTACCTGTGGGGCCTCTTTTGTAAAGTGCTTGAGGCACTGCTGATTTATAAGTAATTTCACTTCTCACAGCATCACTTCTGGGTGGAGGAAGAAGGCTGGAGGAAGCTCTAGAAATAATAACTTTTCTCCAAGTTAGAGTACTCATTAAGCCCGGCCTAGTGGGAACATGTATTCTATTTATTGTATCCTTTTACTGGAAATTATTTCTTTAGTAGAAGCTCATGTGCCTCAGTGACCTGGAATGGTGGTTCTCGAGTAATTTCTATCATTCTCCCCTGTTGAAAGCTTATGTATGGAGAACATCTGGGTAAGAGTCACAGCTTGGAAAAGAAGGCAGTGATTAGGGATTTCTAATTTTATTATTATTATTTTTAACGTTTGTTGAGGTTGGTTTACAATCCAGGACATGGTTAATCTTAGTAAATGCTCCATAGGCACTTGAAAAGCACAGGTATTCTTGGGTTATTTTTTCTACTAAATCCTGTTGGTTGAAGGTGTTGTTCAATTCTTCTATATCCTTATGATTTTCTTTCTTTTTTTTAATTCTAGAGACAGGGTCTATCTCAGTTGTCCAGACTGGAGTGCACTGGTGCAGTCATAGCTTACTGCAACCTCAAACTCCTGGGCTCAAGTAATCCTCCTGCCTTAACCTCCTGAGTAGCTAGGAGTACAGGCTTGTGCTACCATGCCTGGCTAATTTTTAATATTATTACTTTTTTCTCTTTCTGTGCCTAATGCAGCCATGTCTTGTGGTCCCAAGAGGCATCTGAAGCAGGTAGCAGGTCCAAAGCATTGGATGCTGGATAAACTGACTGTTCCTCATCCATCCACCAGTCCCCACAAGTTGAGAGACTATGTCCCTCTCATCATTTTCCTAAGGAACAGACTTAAGTACGCCTTGACAGGAGAGGAAGTCAAGAAGATTTGCATGCGGCATTTCATTAAGATCAATGGCAAGGTCTGAATTGATATAACCTACCCTGCTGGATTCATGGATGTCATCAGCATTGATGAGATGGGAGAGAATTTCTGTCTGATCTATAACAACAAGGGTCGCTTTGCTGTACATCATATTACACTTGAGGAGACCAAGTACGAGTTGTGCAAAGTGAGAAAAATCTTTGTGGACACAAAAGGAATCCCTCATCTGGTGACTCATGATGCTTACACCATCTGCTACCCTGATCCTCTCATCAGGGTGAATGACACCATTCAGATCAATTTGGAGACTGGCAAGATTACTGATTTCATCAAATTCGACACTGGTAACCTGTGTATGGTGACTGGGGGTGCTAACCTGGGAAGAATTGGTGTGATTACCAACAGAGAGAGGCACCCTGGATCTTTTGACGTGATTCACGTCAAAGATGCCAATGGTAACAGCTTTGCCACTCGACTTTCCAACATTTTTGTTATTTGCAAGGACAATAAACCATGGTTTTCTATTCCTCGAGGAAAGGGTATCTGCCTTACCATTGCTAAAGAGAGAGACAAGAGATTGGCAGCCAAACAGAGCAGTGGGTGAAATGGTCCCTGGGTGACATGTTAGATCTTTGTACATAATTAAAAATAACGTGGCATGATTGATAGCCAAAAAGAAAATAAAACAATTTTTTTTGGTAGAGACAGTGTCTTACTAAGTTTCCCAGGCTGTTCTCAAACTCAAGTGGCTCTCCTGCATTGGCCTCCCACAGTGCTGGGATTATAGGCATGAGCTGGCTCCTTGTGGATTTTCTGTCTAGTAGTTCTATCAATTAATGAGAGAAGAGTGTTAAAGTCTCCAACTATAATAATAGATTTGTCAGTTTCTTCCTTTGGCTTTATTAGTTTTTGCCTCACGGTTTTGGAAGATCTGTTTTTGGTGCATACACACTTAGGTTTGCTCTCTCTTATTGGTAGATTGATCTTGATCTATTATCATGTAAAGTTCCTCTCTGTGACTGATAATTTCCTTGCTCTGAAGTCTACTTTGATATTCATATAGCCATTCTTCCTTTTTGAAATATAATACTTACATGATATATCTTTTTCAATGCTTTTACTTTTTACTTAGCTATATCATTATGTTTAAATTGAGTTTTTTATAGACAGTCTATCATTGGGTAATGTTTTTAAATCTACTCAGCCAGTATTATCTTATTTTTAATAAAATTTTCTACACATAATAATTATATGTATTTATGGAGTAAAATGTGATGTTCTGATACACAAATACATTGTGTAATGATCAAATCAGGGTAATTAGCATATCTAATCACCTCAAAACATTAATTTTTTTTTGTCACAGGCACATACAAAATCCTCTTTTCTAGCTATTTTGAGACACTCTACTGTGTAGTAGGACACCAGAACTTATTCTTCCTTTCTAATTGTAACTTTGTACCCATTGCAATTCTGTCTTTTAATTAATGTATTTAGTCCATTTACACTTAAAGGAATTATTGATATGTTAGAGTTTAATTTGGTTACTGTTGGTTCCCTGTTTCTTGTTACCTGGTTATGTTTCTTCTGCCTTCTTGTGGGTTACTTAAATACTTTTTAGAGTTCCACTTTAATTTATTTATAATTTTTTTTAGTATACCACTTTGTATAGTTTTTGTAGGGGTTGTTTTAGCTACGATTCTATTCATATGTAAGTTATCACAGCCTATTGCTATCAGTGTGTTACCATTTCTATTGAAGGGCAGAAAGCTTACTTCCTTTTAATTCCTTTATCCTCTACACCTACAAAAATATAATTGTCCTAAGTATAACCTCTACATACCTATCAGAAAATGTATAATTTTTGCTTTAACCATAAATATGATCAAAGAAATGAATGAAATGAAGGATAGGATGTTATGTTTACTTCTATTTTTACTGAAATGGAATAATAAAAGGCTGAAAATCCCAGCATTTTATTATCATTGTCTTTCTGTTTTGAGGGATTAATTTAGTCATTCTTTAAGGGTAGATCTGCTATCAATACATTCTTGGTTTCTCTATACCTGAGACTCTTTTCCCCTTACATTCCTGAAGAATAGTTTCACCATCTATGTAAGATTTGTGATTGGCAGGCCTTTCTCTCAGCACTTGGAAGATGTGCCACTTCCTTCTGGACTCCGTGGTTTCTGATGAGAAAGCTGTTCTTCACATTGATGTTCCTTTACAGGCCATCTGTTGTTTCTGTCTAGCTGTGACCTTTGTCTTCAGTTTTCAGAAATTTAATTATGATATGTCTTGGTGTAGGTTATGCTGGATAGATTATTTTATTTGGAGTCTGCTGAACTCCTTGGATCTGCAATTTTATATCTTTTGCCAAATTACATTTTTTTCCCCATTAAGATGGAGTCTTACTCTGTTGCCCAGGCTGGAGTGCAGTGGCTCAGTGGTGTGATCTTGGCTCACTTCAACCTCTGCCTCCCTGGTTCAAGTGATTGCCCTGCCTCAGTCCCAGGTAGCTGGGACTGCAGGTGCACTGGATGGGTGGCTGGTTGCCAGGGGACCCAGCTGGGACCGTGCCTGGCTAATATTCGTATTTTTAGTAGAGGTGGGGGTTCACTATGTTGTCCAGGCTGGTCTTGGACTGCTGAACTCAGGTGATCCACCTGCCTCAACCTCCCAAAGTGCTGGGATTACAGGTGTGAGCCACTGTGGCTGACCGAAAATTATCTTTTTCTTTTGTTTTGTTTTCCGAGACAGGGTCTCACTTTGCCACCCAGGCTGGAGTGCAGTGGTGTGATCTTGGCTCACTGCAGCCTTGACCTACTAGTTTCAAGCAATCCTCCTGTCTCAGCCCCCCAAGTAGCTGGGATTACATGTGCACACCTCAATGCCAGGTGAATTTTTCTGTAGAGATGGGGTTTTGCCATATTGCCCAGTCTGGTCTTGAACTCCTGGCCTCAAGTGATTGGACAGCCTTGACCTCCCATCATGCTGGGATTATAGGCGTGAGTCATTGTGCTTGGCCTATGGGAAATTTTCAGCATTATTTCTTTGCATACTTTTTCTATCCATGCTCTTTCTCCCTTTTTTTCTGGACTTTAATGATATGAACATTGGATCTTTTGTGATTGTCTCAGGGATATCTGAGGCTCCGTTGTTTTCTTTTTAGCCTATTTTGTCTTCATGGTTCAGATTGCGTATATACTACTGACTTATCCTCAAGTTCACAGATTCTATTCCTGTCATCTCCACTCTACTATTGAACCCATTCAGTGAGTTTTTAATTTTGATTCTAGTATTTCTAAGTTCTAGAATTGCTATTTGATTTTATTTTTTGCTGAGATTTTCTATGTTTTCATTTGTTTCAAGGTGTAATATTATGGAATATATATTTTGATTTTTGTCCACAATTTCTGGCTCATAACTCTTGTAATTTCCTAAGTGGCTAGAGCAATAGAAGAATTTTTTGTTAAAACATTTGACCTTTTATCCTTGGATCTGAAACAGTTTTAGAATACCTCCGAAGTTGTAAGGTGAACGTGTCTTTTGTTATTTATAGCAATCCCGTTTTGACCACACTTGACTTTGTTAATGAGGTGGTTTTTGGAGAGTCCCTAGATAACCCCCAGATGGGTGGCTGGTTGCCAGGAGACCCAACCATGTGATTAATGAGTAGGAACTCACAGCCCTATCCTCCACCTTGGGGGACAGGAGAGGGCCTGAAGTTTGAATTGATCCCAGTGGCCAATGATTTAATCATGCCTACATTATGAAACCTCCATAAAACTCAGAAGGACAGGGTTTGGAGAGCTTGCAGAAGCTGGACACGGAAGTTCCTGGAGAGTGGCATACCAGGAGAGGACATGGAAGCTATACACCCCTTCCAACTGGCTGTCCATCTGGATCCTTTGTAAAATCCTCTATATTAAGTGGGGAAATATAAGTATTTACCCGAGTTCTGTGAGCCACTCTAGCAAATTAATCAAACTCCAGATGGAGATCATGGGAATCTGTGACTTAGAGCCAATTGGTCAGAAGTGTAAGGTACAATGAATACTATTAATACTTGTGACTGGCATGTGAAATGTGGGGGGCGGTCCTGTGGATTGAGCCCTCAGTCTGAAACCATCCCTACAGGGTTAACAAGAATTACATGCTTGGTTCTAGATAGAAATATAGTTATAATTAAAATGTTTCTGGGGTCATGGGCAAGATGACCAAATAGGAACATCTCCGGTCTGCAGCTCCCAGCAAGATCAATGCAGAAGGTGGTTGATTTCTGCATTTCCAACTGAGGTACCTGGCTTATCTCATTGAAACTGTTTAGACAGTGGTTGCAGCCTACGAAGGGCAAGCTGAAACAGGGTGGGGTGTTGCCTAACCCAGGAAGTGAAAGGGGTTGGGGAACTCCGTACCCTAGCCAAGGGAAGCTGTGAGGGACTGTGCCATGAAGAACAGTACATTCTGGCCCAGATACTACACTTTTCCCATGGTCTTCACAACTTGCATATCAGGAGATTCCCTCGAGTGCCTATGCCACCAGGGCCCTAGGTTTCAAGCACAAAACTGGGCAGCCATTTGGGCAGTCACTGAGCAGGAGATTTTTTTCATACCCCAGTGGCACCTGGAATGCCAGCAAGACAGAACCATTTGCTCCTCTGGAAAGGGAACTGAAGCCAGGGAGCCAAGTGGTCTAGCTCAGCGGATCTCACCCCCATGGAGCCCAGCAAGCTAAGATCCACTGGCTAGAAATTCTTGCTGCCAGCACAGCAATCTGAAGTCAACCTGGGACACTCCAGTTTGGTGGACACATCCACCCTAACTGAGGCTTGAGTAGGCAGTTTACCCCTCACGGTGTAAACAAAGCCACCAGGAAGTTTGAACCAGGTGGAGCTCACCACAGCTTGGCAAAGCTGCTGTAGCCAGACTGCCTCTCTAGATTCCTCCTCTCTAGATAGGGCATCTCTGAAAAAAAGGCAGCAGCCCCAGTCAGGGGTTTATAGATAAAACTCCCATCTCCCTGGGACAGAGCACCTGAGGGAAGGGGCAGTTGTGGGCATAGCTTCATCAGACTTAAATGTTCCTGCCTGCCAACTCTGAAGAGAGCAGTGGAGCAGTGGATCTCCCAGTGCAGCACTTGAGCTCTGCTAAGGGACAGACTGCCTCCTCAAGTGGTTCCCTGACCTCTGTGCCTCCTGACTGGGAGAGACCTCTCAGCATGGGTCAACAGACACCTCATACAGGAGAGTTATGGCTGGCATCTGGCAGGTGCCCTTCTGGGACGAAGCTTCCAGAGGAAGGAACAGGGAGCAATCTTTATTTTTCTACAGCCTCCACTGGTGATACAGGCAAACAAGTCTGGAGTGGACCTCCAGCAAACTCCAGCAGACCTCAGCAGAGGGACCTGACTGCTAGAATGAAAACTAATAAACAGAAAGGAATACCATCAACATCAACCAAAGGACATCCACACAGAAGCCCCATTTGAAGGTCACCAACATCAAAGACTAAAGGTAGATAAATCCACAAAGAAGAGGAAAAACCACTGCAAAAGGCTAAAAATTCCAAAAACCAGAATGCCTCTTCTCCTCCAAAGGATCACAACTCCTTGCCAGCAAGGGAACAAAACTGGACAGAGAATGAATTCTATGATTTGACAGAAGTAGA